TCTAGGTCAGGACTTTTGTTGAGAGACCATTTTAATATCTAACTAGATACATTTCCCTCACTTCTGGCATCTGAGGGACAAAGGATCTGGGGTACAAACAACAGAGGTCACAGTTTGGGGTGGAGGCTGCCACAATTGCCTTAACATGAACCAGTGCACATGGTTGCCACTAATTTTGGCTTGTCACCTTAATCTTGGAAGACATTATAGTGGAACTGTGGTTTAGCTGCCAAATAAAGCCCTGCCCTGGGAAGTTTGTGTAGCAAGACCTACATGTGAGGTGGAGTAGTATACTACTTCCTTAGTTATGATTTCTGTTACTCAGTGCATATGTTACCAAATGTTTCTCTTCTTTATAGGTTTTTGCTGAGCCCTTCATCAGCCTTTTTGCTTTGGAGAACTGTGAAGGCAGAGAGCTTCATTTGCAAGAAGCTGTCAGTTCTGTTCTGAATAAGGATCTTCACTTTCTTACCCAATCCATGTGGGTGAGAAGTGGACAGTAAGTATAATGCGTTCTACTTCATTCTACAAATTCTACACTGAGAACAGAATTCCTGTATTATCCACAGAATGCGGTGGACTTTTGGTGCGTATTTTTCACTTAAGATAAAATCTCACCAAGTAAACCTGAATGATCAGAGAGTGGATGTTATGTATGAACTGTGAAAAATTCTAGTGCCTGCAACTAGTAGCTCTAGGGCATGCTTCCCAAACACTGTCAGTATTCCTCATTTCTAAAGGATTTAGACTTGCTGGGTATTCCTTCTTTCTAAGGAATTCAGACTTGCTGAGTTGAGGAAAGAAGCAACAATCCAGTAACGATCTGTACACTTTTCCATTTTCCATAGATGTCGTCCCAATGGTTTGCATACATAGTATGTGTTTCCCTTACCAGCTTTACCAGGTAACCTCTGTATTTACTTCGAGGTACTTGGAGCTGGGTAAGAAGTTAACTGCAGCATGTCTTCAAGGTCAAATTGGATTTTACACTTGTGATCCATGATGAGGATTTTCTGTTTGGTGGGGGGGGTGTTTTAGTAGAGGAGTGCTGGCAAAGGGGGGTGTTTCTTACCCACTTTACCAAACCCCACTTCTCCAACAAAATGCTCTCTATCCTCTTCTTTCCTTGTCCTACAGTGGTTGCTTTAAAAGGGGGGGGGGGATTTCCTACATTATATTTCCCACATTATATTTCATTTACCATGGAAATAGTTGAGAACATATCCAGGAAGGTGTGCCAAAAGAAAAGTACATTTTTTTCAGAAAGTCTGGGGTACTTTAGATGAGTACCTGTCACTTTAAATAAATCTCTTTTTTTAGTGTGTGCAAGCGCACACACACAATTGCCTGCCTGGGTGTCATGGTGACTTCTGGCAACCCCTAGTGGGGCTAGGATGTTTCAGAGAGGTGGCTTGATATTGCCTGCCTCTGTGTCCCCGCCCCGGTATTCTTTGGAGGTCTCCCTTCCAAGTACTTGCCTTGGTCAGCCTGCTTAGCTTCCGAGATCTGACGGGATCAGGCTTGTCTGGGCTGTACAGGTCAGGGCACTTCAAATAAATCTTTATAATAAAGTGGCAATGTACTAAGTGCTTAAGATAATGATGCCGTAGTCTTTAATTGCTAGCAAAAATATGGGCAAAAGTAAGCTGTAAATGCCTCATTAAAACCATTTCCAAAAATACGGTCATCTGAAAACCCAGGTTAGCAGTCACTCTCGCCCTTTGTAATTTCATACAAGGCAGAGTATGGAAAATATATATGAATATAGTTTTGATTTCAAAAAGTCATTTCTCCGGTAGTCTGGGGTTGGGGCAGTTTTAACTTGTGGGAAGAAGCTCCTCCTTAGAGGACAGGCAGGGCCACTGATTTTTACAATTCCTGAGGGGAGGGGCTTCTCTTCCGAGCCTTAGTCTTGGCCCTGCCTGAAGGGCAATTAGGTGGTTGCTGACTGCGCTCTCGTATGTGTGCCGCAAATCCATTTTCCCCCTTTTGTATTTGTGTTATTCTTTTTCTTGTGTGTGTGTGTGTCCCCCCAATCTTTGGGACGGTGGTTTTTCAGACGGACCCTAGGGAGACTGCTGCCATCGACTGGGTGAGGAATCTCCCTTGGGGAGACCTCACCATCACCTTTGGTCCATCCTGGGGAGTAGAGGAGGCACAAGGAAAAGCAACAGTACCTTCAGGGGGATTCGTGGGAGGATCACCTTGGCAAGACCCCCCCCCCTTTCCGGGAAGGAAAGGCAAGCCATGGGGACTCCAGCCTTCAGGCCAGGAACCTCCCCAGTTGCTTCATCATCCCATAAAGTATTGGTGGCTGCTACAGCAGGAGCTTCCACAGCTTCCCTCTGTAGCCTACTGGCACCTCAACAAGCCAACTCCTAGATGCAGTGACTCAACACCAGTCCTGACCTTCCATTGGTTTCCAAAAGCCACTGCTAAGGTGGGTCAGCTGGCTGGCTCTGGGAACATTAGGAGGGCAACAGTCTGGTCCCCCCCCCCAGTTAAAAAAAGTGAGAAAGGCCTCCAGAACTGCACACAATACTCCGGGTGCGACGTGACCAATGCAGTGTACAATGGGACCATGACATCTTGCGATTTGGATGTTATCAGGAGGTAGTTAACACTGAGGGGGAAGGACCAAGACCAATCATCCCATCATCTCATACTTTTACTTCTTGGTGTCTTGTGGCAGCAGAGCACTTTAAACTTCCAGTAGTGGATGCTCCAGTCGCCAGCTTGTGTTTGAACTCAGTCATTCTAGCAGAGTCGGATGGCTTTCTTAGGGGCCCTTGCAACAGAAGGATAGGTCAGTCCTTATGCAAGAATTTTGAGGCTTCTTCAGCCACCCTGAGGGCCTCCACTGCAAGCTCCCTTTTTTCCAGGGCCATCTGTTCCTGGGCGTCAGATCTCTCAGCAGCAGGTAATGATATCCCCAAAAGGCTTAAAGATAAGCTAACGAAGATCACCCTAGCAGCAGCCTTCTCTGTAGGTGCATCACTGGATGCAATCCAATTGCCAGTCAGGGCCATGGCATCCTATGTCACAGCTAGATGCAACACCTGGCTCCACAACTGAGAAGTAGACCCTTCCTCTCAAGCTCAAGTAGCCAGCGTTCCTTTCAGAGGCATTCACTCCTTCAGGGATAGGATAGATAGGTATCAGGTAGAGGATAAATATAAGAAAAAGACTCTACCCTTGTGCAAGAAGGAAGGCATGCCCAAGGAACACTTCCATTCCTTTTGTTGAATGCAAGCACAATTCCAGTTATCGACCTCTCAAATCTACTAAGGGACGATGGCAGTCCAATCAGTCTGGAGCTTCCAACTCCTCTTTCCACAGATCAGCCAGCCAGGTCATGCAAGGAGCCAAAAAGAGTTCCTCCGTGTGACAGCTACAGCCAGTCAGTCCCACCAATCATCGGAGGATAGCTTCAGTTTTTTGCAAATCTTTGGAAGTCATCTGTAGGTGACTGGTGGGTATTGGGCACAGTCTCAAATGATTACTCCCTGGAACTGCGTAACCTTCCTCCCATCAGGTTTATTCAAGTCCCAAGGAACCATTGCCGGAAGAAACATCTCCTCCTTCTCCAGGCTGTTCAACATCTATTGGACACTGGAGCAATAGAGGTGGTCCTGACCAAAAGACATCTGGAGTCTATTCAATTTTCTTCATAGTTCCAAAGAATGGGGATATGAGAGCCATTCTGGACTTAAAGTGGTTGAACCTCAGGATCAAGAAAAGAAAGTTTCAAATGGAAACTCTCAAGTTCACAGTTTCCTCAATGCAAAGGGAAGACTTCCTGGCACTGATTTGACAGAGGCTTATTTTCATATTCTGATCAGGGAAGCTCATTGCACCTACAGTGGGGATCACTTTCAATACCGGGCCCTTCCCTTCGGTCTCAAGACAGCCCTGGGAATATTCACCAAGGTGCTAGTCTTGCTAACTGCACACCTTAGAACCCAGGGCATCTCCATTTTCCCATACCTGAACAACACTCTCATCAGGTCCCCTTCATACCAACAAGAAATGGAAGATGGGGAAAGGGCTGTCCCCTGACTGCCAGACCACAGCTTCATTATCAACAGGGAGAAGAGCTATTTGTCCCCAGCCCAGTTCTCCAACTGGAGGTCATCATAGACACAGTTCAGGACCGGGTGTTCCTGTTCCAGGAAAGATGGAAGATCCTTTCTTTATTAAGGAAGATTACTTAGCAGTTCTACATGGAGGTCATGGTCCTGGCAAGGCTTTGGGGATGTTGGTGTCTTGTTAGGATGTGGTTCCATGGATGAGGTTTCATACTTGCCCTCTCCAGAAGCTTCTCCTTCCATTCCAGGATATAATACCCTACAGACAGCTCAAGAACATAAGAGAAGCCAATGTTGGATCAGGCCAATGGCCCATCCAGTCCAGCACTCTGTCACACAGTGGCCAAAATTACCAGGTGCCATCAGGAGGTCCACCAGTGGGGCCAGGACACTAGAAGCTCTCCCACTGTTGACCCCCCAAAAAACATCAAGAATACAGTGCATCACTTACCTCAGAGTTCCTATCTATACCTTGTGGCTGATAGCCACTGATGGATCTCTGCTCTATATGCTTATCTAATTCCCTCTTGAAGTCATGCATGCTTGTAGCTGCCGCCACCACCTCCCATGGCAGTGAATCCCATGTGTTAATCACTGTTTGGGTTAAGAAGTACTTCATTTTATCTGTTCTAACCCAACTGCTCAGCAATTTCATTGAGTGCCCATGAGTTCTTGTATTGAGAGAAAAGGGAGAAAAGTACTTTTTTCTACCTGCTCTATCCCATGCATAATCTTATAAACCTCGATCATGTCACCCTTCAGCTGTTGTTTCTCCAAGCTAAAGAGCCCCAAGCGCTTTAATCTTTCTTCATAGGGAAAGTGTTCCAACCCTTTTATCATTGCCCTTTTCTGCACTTTTTCCAATGCTACAATATCCTTTTTGAGGTGTGGTGACCAGAACTGTACACAGTATTCCAAATGAGGTCGCACCATTGATTTATACAGGGGTTATCAAGCTTCCAAAAGGTCTGCTCCAGGAGCTCCAATGGTGACTGTTTCTGTCCAAACTTCTGGAAGGGACCACACACAGAGAACTAAACAGGTTGCTGATGACTTTGGATGCCAGCCTGAGGGGGTGGGGATCTCACTCCCACGGGAATGTGGCAAAAAGAACCTGATCTTGTGAAGAAGCCAATCAGAGCATAATTTTTCTGCAACTCAAGCTCACACCTTTGCAGGTATCTCATATTAATAAAGCCACTCATTTGTTATGTTGGAAGAACTGTGAGTGAGTGGGAAATTACATCCACTGTTAGTGGAGCTGCAAAGTTATTACCGAATTTTAGAGAAAGATTGTAACCCAAATTTTAAAAGAAATTACAGGTACTCAGTTGCTCTTTAAACCTGAAGTACTACTGCTAAATTATGGGACTGTTGCCTCTTTAAATAAATCAACAAAAAAATGATATTG